CATGGATCCTGGTTGTAACTGTCCCTGGTTGTAACTGTCAATAGTGGTAGCTTTGGCCAAAGATTTTCAGTGGCTGATTTTATTTTGTTTGTTTTCAACTTTTTATTTTGAATTTAGTAAAGGTTTACGGACAAGAACATTAGCTTTGTAGTCAACAGATGATACTTTGATTCATCTCAATGATAACAATCCCCTCCCAGCAACAACAGTTATCCTGCTTCCTCTCTGCGGCTTCCCTTTTACATCTTATTTTCACAAAGGAACAAAGCAAAAATATTTGATATACACATACAAAACAAAATATATAAATTCATTTAAATGTCCAAAGGACACATTCTGCTAGCCAGCCTCCTGCCCACAGGTACACAGCCTTACTCAGTGTATGGGCTTAGAGCCTGTAGCAGCTCTGTCTCTCCATGCCATTGCCTCTGCCACCATCTTTGCTTTTTTAGGTAGGTCTCTCGTGTTCCACTCATGCTCTTCCTTCCTGATGGTCTAGGATCATCTGTTCCTGAAATGAAAGATTAACTACACCCCCCTTTTAGTTACACATCTTCTACAATTACAGTTGTGACTTCACTATTAATCCTGCTAGCAATTATAATTGATTCTTAAAAGCGTAGCCCCATCGTTCCCCAACCCCCTTTTATCATATCCATCTAGAAAAGGGGAAAACTATTCAGTGGAGATTCTACCTCACCCCTCTTTCTGGAACTTGAAACTGAGTGTACCCTTGAAAGCTTGTAAGCCAGCTACTTGATGTCTTTATAGCCCCCTAATTTTTGATAGCCAGTGTATAAATTATCCATCCCTATGAACCCAGTAAGGAGCTCTGGTAGCATAGTGGTTACGAATCGGGCTGTGAACCACAAGGTCAGCAGTTCAAAACTACCAGCTGTTCCGCGGGAGAAAGATGAGGGGTTCTGCTCCCAAAAAGATTAACAGCCTCGGAAACCCTGTACAGGGTCACTATGAGTCAGAACCGACTCCACGGCACCCAACAACAACAACAACAACAACAACAACAAATGAACCCAGTACACTGAGGAAATAAGGTGATATGAAGAAAACCTTTCATTCTGTAATCATAATTCTCAGTATTCATTTCTATCATATTTTATAGCAGTAGGCAGGAGAAACTAATATCCAAAAGACACTCAAACATATAAACATTTTCCCTCCTCCTTTACCCATTCAGCTTATGTCTCAATCCATGTATCTAGTCACAGAACACGTGTTCCAAAGTTGTGTATTGTTGGTAAGTGCCCTCGAGTCGGTTCCGACCCATAGTGACCCTGTATAGGGTTTCCGAGGAGCATCTGGTGCCCTTGCAGTTCAAACAGGTTTGCAGCTGGCTCATTAGCCTACATCTCTATCCCTATTTAGCCCATGTATGTTTCCCTAAGTCTTCATTGTTTGTCTGCCACCCTCTGTCTTCTTATGTATTGCTCTTAACATGTATTTACCCTCCAGCCAGTGAACTACTCTCCTCTCCCTCCCACCCTTAGTAAGCATCAAAGAATGTTTATTTTAGTCTGGAAACCTTTTCGTAAGCATATGCAATAATGGTCTTATACAACCAGCCCTCCAGGTTTATGCATGTTATGAGGTGTTTTGCAGTGGCTGATGTCTTTGAAAGTAGGCTGCTAGCCTTTTTCTTCTGAGATGCCTCTGGGTGGGCTGCAGCCTTTCTGTTAGCAGTGGTGCATGTTAAGCATTTGCATCACTCAGGTACTACTTGTATCTAGCTCTCCAGTGCTCTTTAATCTCCAACAGCTGCTCAGCCTTGCTTGATATTTCTTGCCATTGAGTTTTAGAAGAACAGAGTTTAGTAGATAGTCCTTCAATCTGGGTTCGCCTGATTACTAGAGTCAGGTTTTGCATCAGAAAACTACAAATTATTAGTAGTGATAACTTTAGTCACTTAATTGTGGTGGTGTCCTCCAAAGTGACTATTTTCCACTGCCAAGTTCTGTTTTCCCACTTTTATTTACTAGGAGTAATTTGTTGGGAAATTATGTAAATATCCTGTACCTTTTCAAACTTTCTAAAAATTTATGAAGCACGATACCATTTTCCCTGCTGGTAACAGGTCCAAAGTAAATGAAGATTAAGTCTTGTCATCACTGCTAACAAGGAGCAATCAATTGTACTTGTTTTTAAGTTCTTCTGGCAGTCCGTGGTATATTCTGTATTCTTTATCAACTCCATAATTCGAATGCATCAATTCTTCTTCCTTCTTCCCTATTGCATGTGAGACAATTGAAAATACCATGGCTGGATTCAGGTGTGCCTTACTCCTCAAAGTGACATCTTTGCTCTTTAATATTTTAAAGAGTTATCTTGCAGCTGCAGACCTGCCTAGTATAATATATGATTTGAGTTCTTGGCTGTTGCTTCCATGCGCATTTACTGTGGATTTTAAGAAAAATGAAACCTTTGATGGTGTCAATCTTTTCTCCATTTGTCATAATATTATTTTTTGATCAATTGTGAGGATTTTTTTTTTTTTTTTTGTCTCATGTTGTATAAGGACCCTTGATGGCACAGTGGGTTATGTGCTATGCTGCTAACCACAAGTTTGGTGGTTCAAACCCACCAACCACTTCATAGGAGAAAGATGAAGCCTGTCTGCTTCTGGAAATTTTTACAATCTCTGGAGCCCTTTGGTTTACTTTTTCCCTGTAAGGTTGCTATGAGTTGTAGTTGACTCAATGTCAGTGAGTTTGTCTTGTGTTAAGATGTAATCCATTCTGGAGGTTGTAAGTGATCTTCATAGGTAAATGCTCCAAGTCCTCTTCCCTTCCACCAAGCAGGATGTTAGTTAATGAGTCGTCCTCCGATCCTCAAGCTGAATCCTTTTTTATATAGGCTAGCTTCTCAAATTATTTGCTCTGTTTACAGATTGAATAAGTATTGTGGAAGGATGCAAACCTGACACTGTTTTCCTGATTTTAAACCATGAAATATCCCCTTGTTTTGCTGAATCTTCTTGGTCTATGTACAGGTTCCACATGAGTACAACTAAATGTTCTGGAATTCCCACTTTTTGCAATGTTATCCATAATTTATTATGGTCCTTCTAATCAAATGTTTTTGCAAAGTCAATAAAACATAACTAGACATCTTTCTTGTATTCTCTGCTTTCAACCAAGATCCATCTGATGTCAGCAATGATAGCCCTTATTCCATGTCATTTCTTGAATCAGTACATCTCTGTTGATGTACTGCAGCAACATAAATATTAACTTCTGCCAACTTTTACTTACATGTGATATTAATGATATTTATTTGATAATTTCCACATTCTGTTGGATCACACCTTCTTTTGGAATGAACACACGTATCTTCTAGTCAATTAGCCCAATAATTCTCTCCCAACTTTCTTGGCACAAGTATCTTTTAGTCAGCCCAATAATTCTCTCCCAGCTTTCTTGGCATAGACAAGTGAGAGCTCATTGCATTGCATTCAGTTGTTGAAATGTATCCCCAGTTGATATTCCAGCAATTCCTGGAGTTGAAATGCAACTAAAACAAATATATAAAATTATTGGAACTATTGCTCTGGATGAAGATATGTCAGGCATTTTCCCCCCCTCCATTTTATCATATTTAGATTAAGGGTAGTTAAAATATTTTGTTTAAAAATTTCCTCCAGTGTTGTTTATTTCAATTTTTTAAAAAAACGATAATTTGGTTTATTGTTTCTGCTTATGTCTTTCTTTTCTTCCATGTTTGTTGACTTAATATTTTCTAAATAAGCACTTATTTAAATCATTTCAGGTTTACAGAAAAGATTGTGCGTGTAGTACAAAGTTTGCCTATACCCCTTCTTTATTAAATTGTATTTTATATATATATATATATATAAGACATTTAATGTCATGTCAAATATGAGATGAAGGTGTCCTGCTATAATTGTCATTCTTTGATATTTTTTTGTTTTATGTAATTCCTAGTTTATTCCTCTTGTGATTATTTTTGCATAATCAGGTGTATACACATATACATACATATATTGTTGTTGTTAGGTGCCCTCGAGTTGGTTCCGACTCATAGTGACCCCTAGACAGGGTTTCCGAGGCTGTAAATCTTGTTGTTAAGTGCCGTCGAGTTGGTTCCGACCCACAGCGACCCTGTACAGGGTTTCCGAGACTGTAAATCTTTACAGGAGTCGAAAGCCTCATTTTTCTCCCATGGAACAACTGGTAGTTTCTAGTTTCGAACTGCTGACCTTGCGGTTCACAGCCTGATTAGTAACCACTACGCTACCAGAGCTCCTTTGTTACATATATATATGTGTGTGTGTGTGTATGTGTGTGTATACACAAAGGGTTTCAAAAAGTTGGTGGGAAAATGAAATTAAATAATGTATGTGTGGTGTGTATATTTTTTTCATCTGTTTCTTTGAAAGAGCATCATACTAGTTCTGTAGAGCATTTATAAGAATGTAAATAGAAGATTATGTAGGGCTTGTCATCAAGGACAAATCAAGTCTCTTTAGAGTTTTACTCTGAAAGTTATTTTGAAATAGTATTTTTATAAAATATGTATTTAGCATAGGATTTTTTATGGACCTTATTACAGTGTTTCTGTTAACTGGATGCACTATATTCCTTTAAGAATGTAGGGAAGCAAATATCAAAATTTCAAATAATATTTTGTGAAACCATAAAATGAATGTTAATAGCTCATGAAAGCATAGGAACTTATTGTTATAATGTAACATGATGTAAGCTATTGGTTATTTTTTGTTATTTCTGCATTTTGACATGATGCTGTCTATGCTAAAGAGCATTTCTGAAAATTTTCAAGACTTAATAAAATGCTAGTAATGCACTAATGTTTAAATACTAGTAGCAAATGTTATAATATGATTTAAAGAGAACACTATAGGAACATGCTAAATAATTTTATAAAATGTATGCCAAAGAAATAGAACAAGGGGGCTCAGAGACAACAATATGTAAGAAAAAAACAAAGAAAATTTTTCTCACCAGAAACAGCACCTCTTCTCAGTCTCAAACAAGTACTGCCTCCAGAAAAGCCAATTCGAGCGTTGGGAAATGGCAGGATCGTTATGGGAGGGCTGAATCACCTGATCTAAGGTAAGGTTAATTTTAAATACTGGATTATCCTGATATTTGTATCTGTAGTGTTGCTTTGTCTTATTAGTGAGGTAAGTTTGATTAGCTTGAACCTTATTTTTACTCTTAAAATTATGCTTTCTCAGTATAGAGTTTCGGGTGTTTTAAGTTAACCTCTGAATCAGACCACCTTACTTCATGTCTTGCATCTCATCCCTCTGGTCTTTATTATATACAATTAATTGCATTAAGCCACCCGATTGGGGGCTCATTAAATGTTACTTCCTGGCTACAGGTTTGACTTTTATTTCACATATAAGATGCCCTTTTCAAAAATCCCAGGGAACTTTCTACTATTTTACAAGTTGTAACCCACTAAGCCATTATTTAGGCTCCACTGTATCCTTCCAATTTTTATATGCAACTGTTTTACGACATAAAAATTGCACTCCATTTAGTTGTCTTCCAACTAAAATGTGAGGTACCATTGCCTTGTTGCTGTTTTTACTAATAATTTAGCCTGCTTAGAATTGTAGTTTATTTTCTAGATAATACATTTAGTAAGAGTATACCCTTGTATGGACAATGTAATGTAATCTCTCTGCGACTATAAAATGGGAACAACTTCTGCTGTAACAGGCTGTGATGATGGTGATAGGGGTCGGTTATATGCCACTGTGTCGGCTCCAACTGAGTGCAACCCTGGATAGGGTTTCCGAAGCTGTGAATCTTTATGGGAGCAGAAAGCCTTTTCTCCTGAGGAGTTACTGGTAGATTCGAACTGCTGACCTTGCAGTTAGCAGTCCAGCTCATAATCCACTATGCCACCAGGGCTCCTTCTAAGGGTTGTTATTGTTAAGTGCAGTCGAGTTGCTTCCAACTCATAGTGACCTTTTATTGGGCTTCTAAGGAGCAGTTGGTGGGCTTGAACTGCTGACCTTCTTGATTAGCAGTCCAGTGCTGATCCTATGGTGCCACACCAGGACTCCTCTAAGGGATGTTGTGTTGTTGTGAAGTGCTGTTGAGTCAGTTCCAACTCTTAGTGACCCTGTATAAGTTTTCCAAGGAATGGCTGGTGAGTTTGAACCTCCAGCCTTACAGTTCAAATCGACTGTGGTTTGTTCCATGCCTGTCCTGTAGCACTACAGCAGGACTTTGCAAATATGTTAGGTTTTGAAAGTGCTTTACCAATAGCGTTCAATCTGAGATTATACTTTGATGACTGACTTGGAAATATAGAGTAAGGTACTTTTCAGTTTACTATTTGGTGTTTTAACCATTTTTGGTATATATATAGAATGATTCTGTTTGCTATGGTTTTGTATTTGTTGGGAGAGCCTTAAGCTTCCTTTCTGGACAGCTTGCTGCTACATTAGTGTGCTTATATCTAATTAAAACCAAACCCATGACCATTGAGTTAATTCAAACTCAGAGCGAACCTAAGTTGTTGTTAAGTGCTATTGAGTCAGTTCTGACTTATAGCAACTGGTAGGTTTGAACTACCAACCTTGTGGTTCACAGTCCAGTGCTGATCCTACAGTTCCAACACCAGTAGTGACCCGATTAGAGAGAGTCATACTGTCCCATATGGTTTCCAAGGTTGTAAATTTTTATAGAAGCAGAATGCTGGATTTTTCAACAATCATGGAGTAGCTGGTGGGCTTGTACCACTGACATTTTGGTTAGCAAGTTAGTGCTTTAATCACTGAATGGCCAGGGTTCCTTAATGTATCCATAATTTTAAGTTGCAAACTTGTAACTATGAACATTATAATGAGATATTTTGATCATAACACCTAAAAGCAAAAAGAGCAGATTTTAAAGGCAGGAAACACTATTACAATTTGATTTTCTCTTCTGTGGGCCTAAATGATAATCTTCATGAATTGTAAGAATTTGTGAACAATTTACTTTGGCTGAATTTCCTATTAAAATGTAAGCTTAGTCGCTCTCAAAAGCTGATATTCATCTAAAACTGAAATATATTTTTATGTTGTGAAGAATATTTAGAAGAAAATATAAGGCTAATAATTGAAGATAAAGGATGTATTTTTTTGTATTCTAAAAGTACTGTCCGAGTCCTGATGTGGTGCTTTATAAGCAGTGGACTGCTCACCACTAGTTCAAACCCACCAGCTGCTCCTCGGAAACCCCATACAAGGTTTTCTGAGTCAGACTGAATCTATAGCACTTAGCAATAACAGACTAGTGTCATTTGCATCTTAGGTTACAGAAGAAAAGATTGGATATTACAATTGTTTTTTTTTTTTTTTTT